AAGCTTGGGAATTGCTAACTGACCTTCTGAAGATTGGGGGTGGAAGGAGAGCACCCTCCCTAGTGGCACAACGGGTCAAAGCGTAGCACTGTGAAGCTGTCACTGCCACTGCAGCACGAGTTTGATCCCCGGCCAGGGAGCTGACCCACAGTGCTCAGCAGACCCCTCCTGTCTCCCCGCTGCTCCCCTCAGCATTACACTTCATCCATCTGCCCATTCTGCTCCCCACTCTGCGTCTGGTGAATTCTCTCACTGCCCCTGCACCTGTGGCCTGCACCCCAGTTCTGTATGCATAAATAAATAAATCTTTAAAAAAAAAGAAAGAAAGAAAGGAAAGGGGAATGTTTCCTGCCATCCCTAAGTAAATGCTTCCAGGGTCCTTCCTGCCCACACCCTTCATCTCTCACATTCCTACCAAGCACAGCCCACCCACCAGCTTCCTCTGCCGCCACTGGGGCTTGCGAGAGACCTTAGCTGGCCACAAGGGTTTGCTCAACCTCCAGGCAGCATGGAAATGCTAAGAAGCTACGCCATGGAGGCAGTAACTTTCCTCTCGCCTCCCCAGCCCTCTAGCCATCCTGGCAGACACAGCCTCCTAAACCAGCTACTAGAATTCAAATTGCTGTATCAGTTTCTGCTTCTAGAAGAATTTAACATAAACAACCAGAGACATCCATGTCAACCAATGATTGTGATCGCTTCTAATACTGTTTCGTACACACTTCTGAACAGCAGCTATGTCACAGACTATAGTAGGGTGCCTTGTGCCTACTATAGTTACATATAAAAATGCACTAGCAGTATAAAGGAGGAGAGTTTATTCTGTTGTGGGAGGTGGTTTCAAAGAAGGGTTTGCATGGGAAGTGACATCTGAGGTTTTGAAGGATGAATAGGAGTTTTCTGGGTAGACCAGAGGAAGATGCAAACAGCATATTTAAAAATCTGGAGGGGGGGCCCTCCCTGGTGGGCACAAGGGGTTGAAGCGCAGCATTATGAAGCTACAGGCAGCCACTGCAGCACGAGTTCGATCCCCGGCCAGGGAGTTGACCCACATGACACAGCAGACTTCTCCTGTCTCCCCCCGCTGCTCCCCTCAACAGTGTATTTCGGTCAGTCCACCCATTTTGCTCCCCATTCTGTCTTTGGTGAATTCTCTCACCTTCCACACCTTTGCCCTGTATGCCAGTTCTTGTATGCATAAATAAATAAATCTTTTAAAAAAAATCCAGGGGTGTAAAAGGCACAAGATGTTGTAGGAACCACCGGTAGTTGAATATCTCCCATGTTGCTAGAAAATAAAGCACATTTTGGAGGTGGTAAAGGGTTTGTGAAGAGCATCAGAATAGAAATGTGATTACATAGACAGGCAGTATCTGGTGCTGCTAAGATGTTTAGATATTATCTTGGAAAGATTGGAGGATTTTAAGAAATTGTGGGTTATCTTTTTCTGATTGCATAAGTATCAAGTGCTCATTGTTGAAATGTTAGCAGATAAAGAAAAATATAAAGAAGAAAATAAAATTACCTCCAATCCAGGGTTAATTAAATCACGTTGATGTGTTTTTTCTCAGCAGAGTTTTAGGCAGAAGAGTGCAGAGATCAGACTTGAGCTTCAGAAGGCGTTCTGGTGGCTGGAGAATATCATGTGCCTGGAAAGATACTGGACATGGGGTGACCAGCTCGGACTCTGCAGCACTGCAACGCCATCACTCCCGCAGCAGTGGGGATGGGGGTGTTCGGAGGGGGCTTTTCCAGGACCACTTTGCTGCAGCCAGGGGTAGGAGAGCAGAGACAGGCCCGGTGACCAGAGACGTTCTCATTGCGCCCGTCCATATGTTGGTAGAGGGGTCGCACCGGAACCAGGAGACCTGGGCTCTCGTTTCAGCTGTCACCTCCTACCTGTGTGACCTCAGTTTCCTTGAACCCTTTGAACCTGTTCTCTGACCGGAAAAAGGTGAATGATGGGGCAGCAGGTTAAAGCACAGCACTATCTAGACGAAGCTGCCTCAGCATGAGTTTGCTCCCCGGCCAGGGAGTGACCCACAGGGCACAGCAGACCTCTCCTGACCCACCTGCTGCTCCCCTCAGCAGTGTGTTTCAGTAAACCCTCCTGTTCTGCTCCCCGCTCTGTCTCTGGTGAATCCCCTCACCACTCCTGCACCTCTGGCCTGTGCCCCAGTTCTGTATGCATAAATAAATAAATATTTTTTTAAAAAGTGAATGATGATTCATCCTGGTTTCCTCACAGGTAGTACAGAGAATCCATGGTGCCTAGGAGAGGAATATATGCTTGATGAGTAGAACAGGTGGGTCCAGTCTGCCCCCCTAAAATCTCTGTTCGATCCTTTCCTGACCTCTGTCTCCAATCATCAGCCCCTAGAAGGCAGGGCAGGTCCACATCCCTCAGGCTTCCTTTCCTCTCTCTCTACACCCTTCGCAGAGGACTGATGTGAGACTGGTGAAGATGCTCTGAACACCCCATGTCGCCCTATGGATTCGCTCATTCTACTAACCGACGCCCCAGTACAAGCCAAGAGGATATACATAATAAGCAAACTGGGTAAGTGAGGCAGAGTGAAATAGGGCCTTGTAGAGTGGAGGTAGATTTTGGTTTGAGGGTTTTTTTAAGATTAATTTTATTTATTTATGCATACAAGAACTGGGGTACAGGCCACAGGTGCACGGGGTGGGAGGAGTCACCAGAGACAGAGTGGGGAGCAGAACAGGCAGATGGACTGAAATCCACTGCTGAGGGGAGCAGCGGGGAGACAGAGCAGTCTGCTGAGCCCTGTGAGTCACTCCCTGGCCGGGGATCGAACTCAGGCCGCTGTAAATGGTGATAGCTTGATAGTGCTGAGACATTAACCTCTGTGCCACCAGGGAGGCCCTAGTGGGGCTGGACTTCGGATCTGTGTGGTCAGGATGGACCTCTGGAGCAGCTCAGGCAAAGGAAACAGTGAGTGAACAGATCCTGGAGTGGACCTGGGCTTGGCATAGTTAAAAAAACATACCTGCCTGGGCTTATCCACACTCCTGTCCACTCTGCTTGAATGACGTGACTGCTGTGAAGCCTTCTTGGCCAGCCCTCACTTGCT